CAGTACGCATTGTTTGATATGTGTTTTAAGTGGACCGTTTTCTATTTTAGACATGAACACCTCGGCAAACAAGGGCCCTAGAGGGGATCCCATTGGTACACCATCCTTCTAGCGATAGATTTCCTCATTGAATTTGAAATAGAAAACGGTCCACTTAAAACACATATCAAACAATGCGTACTGTACAAACGTTACGTAGACGATATTTTGTGCGTGGTCGATTCTACAAGGGAATGCCAAAATATACTAGATCATTTCAATGCTCCTGATAACGTTATCTTGTCAAATAAACTAACCGACTGTTCTTGATGCGGAGACCAATAGAAACTAGGATTGACGGGCGGTGGTGGTGATCAAGTGGCGCTTAAGGTTTGCAAACACCACCATCATCTAGCCGTCACCACTTCCTGTATATGGCAACCCTTAAATTGTCCGTTTTCCGTGTTCCTAAAAATTGCGTGTAACCTTATAAACTAATAAATTAACTCAATTGAAATGGGCGTTTTTGTCTGAATAAATTACAAAATATTGAATAAAATTTAAAAAAATTATTGAAGCAATAAAACCAGTGAATTGTATCAGTTTGAATAGTCGCATACACCTGACCTTCAATTTCGTTGGGAATGCTTCCACAGCCATAACGGTGAACCCACGTGCAATTGTCTACATTTTAATTCACAGAAAATGCAAATGTTATGATACAGTTCGATATATTCGCGAGTAGCGTAAAGATACTGAAACGGGTCACTGATAAACTGAGAAAAGCCGTTTACAACGGTGAATTTCAATTGCTTATCGGAAAGGATCCATTCAAAGTTGTGGCAAAAACGCTGAAGGTGTTGTCGGGGGTAAGTAAACATGTGTTCAAATATTGGGCTGCATTTATAGTTCCTGTGTTTGCAATCAACCCGCCTACATATAAACATATATCTGTTGTGTTCGTGAAATTTTAAATCAACTAGAGGAACCTGGTTTGTCGCAGCACGACTTATTTTATCTCCACTTTTGTGTGCACCTTATTCAGAATTATGGTTTTTCAATCAATAATTCCTTCCATCAAACGTTTAATATGATGTCGCATGGCTGAATCTTTGTCTCTCATGCCATTTAACTTTCTACATAATGCGATCAAATCATCATCATCCGAGTCATCCGAGTCATCCGAGTCATCATGATCAGCATCAGCATCAACATCATCCGAGTGATCATCATAGTGATCATCAACGTCATCAAGATCGTCGTCATAATCCTCACCATTACCGACAACATTAGGATCATCATCCGAGTCATGATTTTCCGAGTCATCTTCACCTTCGTGAGGAACTCCTGCAGTGGAACAAATGTGCAAGCATATTTCACTGTTTGCAGGTCTCTGCTTGGGTAGGAAAGCAGGAATAATTATTTCACGTTGAGATACATCTTACATACCCGTTGAGTGTATCAAGTAAAGCCGATAAAAAGTTCATTCAGATGTATTTGCCTCCAGATCGCTAAAACCAAACAGAAGAAAATCAAATCGAAGACCAGCACCAAAGGGGCGCAACCGAAACCACCTCGAGCAGGAGCAGGAGCGGCAGCAGATCGTGGAAAACGTTCTATGCAGCCGCATAACTCACCAAAATCATCTGCTGAACTGAAAAACAAGGAAAAGCAACAGGTAATTATTTTTCAAAGGGTATACCAATTATAAACTGCTGCTGCCTTTTGTTTTGAAAAATGATGAATTTTTCAAAAGTTAAAAACAGAATTCAAAAATAAATGACGGTAGTGTCATTCAAACTTGCAATCCACCAGCAAATGTCTGAGTCGGTCAAACACAATGGAGTAGTTGGTGTCAAGGCGCACGATATTCGGTAGTCTGGTTGCTTCTAGACTGATTTTTAAGCTCAAAGAAGAATGCTTTTGGGGAGAACTGAGTTTAAAATAAACGTCTTCGACGTTTTGATTGGAAGGTCACATGAAACGAGTTGACGAATACTTAGTGGTAATTTCATTCGCTTTATATTTAACAAAACGACACAAACCATACAAAGACTTGAATATCTGTATTTAAAAATGACGGATTCAATGAAGTATCGGATAACATAAAATTAATTAGTTTCAGTTGGATGTCAAATCTAACGGAAAAGTGATAGAAGTAATTTTTTTTCCGTAACGCAAGTGGGTTTGGAGGGGCGGGTGATGATTCCAACGTCGCTGATCGACAGTCTTTGTGAGTCTCCTTTGAAGGATAGCATAATGCTTGTTGCCGGGAATCGCGGGGTCTGGGATAAAGGAAATGCAAATCGCCTGTTTAACGAAAAGCGATCTTCGTGCTAGGAACTGTGCAAAATGGTCAAGGGGTAATAGAACGGTGATGCATACGTGTCTAAAGAGTAGATGACAAGAATGAAGGTGCATTAGAACAAACATAATGTTGGTCCCCATCAGTTATGTTCTAGCAGCGTGAGCCTTCATTTCAACCTTCTGTGGTCAGAATTATAAACTTGAAAAGTGAAGTGTCTTCCAATAGATGACTCAAATCACATCATCGACCAATGGGAAAGAATAAATCAATCCAAAAGTGATACTGTTCACAGAAAAAAATATTAGGTGCCCTAGATAAAACGGATCAATCGAAAATGAAAGTAGTTAGATTTAGTTAGAGTTACGGAAATTTCATGATGCGGTTGGCATCATCATGATCCCGGTTCGCTTTTGTTGCATCATGTAACCTGTCACAGATACACGCTGGGGGACACTATATGTCAGAAACAGGTATTATTTATTCCTCTACTTGAACTGCTCGCCTTTTGAACCCTCTGGTCAATCTATACCCATTGTGTGTATTCACACAACTTACTTTAAATTTACATCTATCCTACTCAGTGGAAGAACAATTATGGTATTGAGTTATATATCAGAATCCCGATCTGGTTTTTATGTAGAGCTTTCAGTAGAATTCAGGTATAAACACCAAAGAAAACCTGGAAGTGATGGCTTGTAGACAGATACCAAAGACTGTTCAGATTTACCACGCATCGCATGAACAATCCGTAGTGTCCGGATTCAAATCAGCGAACAGGCGCAACAAATTTGAAAACGGTGCGATCTGTTTCCGAGGTGTTTCACTGTTGAATCACAGGTTGACCGCAGGCTTTGAATACACTCGTATAAGCGCACTGCTGGACTCCGCAGGTTCCTTGCTGGAATTTCCAGCTCATCTTATCCGAGCTTTGAGGTGATACAAGCAATTTTGCATACTTTGTCCAGGAATAAACCTTACACCAGCTTTAGCCTAAAACCTATTTGAAACAGAAATTGGGCAACTAGTTCACACTATTAGTAGTTGATATTTCTCCGATTATTCCATTTCTTCATAGCAGGTGAACGTAAAGGTGAAAAGTATTTTCAAGTAAAAGGTTTTATCGTCGGATGTTAACACCTTTTTCTGTATTCTTGGTTCTGACTAGAACGATTCAGTGGATAAGCAGAAATCGGCTTCAAGGTGACCGGAATCACTGACCGAGAACTGGAGGAACGCGACCGATGCGAAATAGCATTCACAGTAAGTTGTGGAATGTGTTTGATTGACACTCTTTGGTGAACTGTGACTCATGTGGACTTTGAATTAATCGAGCTATTTTGTTCTTTCTATCTTTAATCCATTTTGGATTTAGGAATCAGGTGATATTAAACCTATTCCTAAAATTGTTCAAATCCTTCAGATTGCTACACGGAGGAACTAAGCTGGAGCTCTGCCCATCACTGTATATCTTATCATTCTCAATGCATCTATCAAACTTGAGAAGACCTAATCTTATTACCTAATAAATTAGTTAAAAATCATTCGAATTAATCATCCTTCTAACATGTGTTTCTGAACAAAACAGTCTTTTCTACTCATTTTCATTTAATCAAACCTTCTCGTTTCAGATACACTAATGTGAATTGGCAGATCTCCCTCGAAAAACTCTCACCTCCGCAAGCTTTAACTCCTCCTTCCCTTCACTTTATATATATATATATATATTAAATCACAATTATTTTGAATTGACAAGACGCATTTCGTTCGAACCTATTCCCTCCATGCAGTTACACTAAACAGATTTCCACATCTTGATTTCATCTCTTCTAGCGGTTTGTTTAACGGAAACCTATTCACATGAATAAACGCTGATATTGATTCACTGAGACTTTGTTTTATTCTTCGTTCGCTCCCGCCACCTTCCTTGTTGATGATGATTCCGAAGTATGTTACTCGATTCTCTCTTGCTCACCATCTGAATACAACAATATGGATGTTTCATAAAATCCATGTGACCTCATATTTCAAATTGAAGTAAATTCTATAAAAGGTCTTCAAGGATATCCAATAAGTGAATGGATAGTTTGGGGCAAGGCCTCATCAGGTGTAGTGCACGTTCAGGACAAAAACCATCAGTTCAGTTGTATGCAGGGACCGAGTACAAGTCACATAGGCACCGACTCAACTTGCTTCTGTTTCTTCTGTCAAAATGTGCTTTACACATTCGAGCAATATGCTGGTTTACTGGATTCACGGTTTCCAGGGCAACGCTTTACTGAGCGAACCCTATAGTCACGGAGACCTACCGACCAGTGGTGGAAACCGGCAACCTAAGCCGCGGGACTTCGAGAAGCGATCCCACATAAGGCCCCGATAGGTTAGGCGTGGTGTTGAATCGGACGAAAGCACAGCTGCCTACCACCAAAGTCGGGTGGCGGTGCGGGGCTCGAACCTCGAACCACAGGTTCCAAAGCACGCCGGTGATAGCGACTAAACCACTGCGCCACCACCACTCAATCATAATTAAACAAATCAAATCGCTAACAATGGAGTGCTACGCGATAGAATTCTGGTTTCGAACCCTGCCTCGTTTTACGAAATTGGGCTTTATGATAGTCCGCGTGCAGAAGATGAATTCAATTTAGTGCTATTGGTGTGGCCTCGTAACTCAGCTGACAGAACGTGCGCGTATAAAGCGTATGCGGCGTTCTTGCGTGGGTTTGAATCCCACCGAGGCTACTGAACATTTCACAATCAAAACAGCAACTTCAAATCTGCCAAAACAACCATTTGCACGAATTCAATATTGACCAATATCTGAAAAACTTTATCAATAACTGACTACCACAATGACCGATTAGATTGCGTTATTCCTTTCCTGATATGCCGCCCTTACCACCAACAGTAATATAATCTATGATTGACTTAGGAATCGCTATTTTGTTTCTTTTTGTTTTATAAATAGAACTATTTTAATTGTGATTTTGGGGTTTACATTTATTCGACAGTTTGACCATTAATTAGCAATAGTTTTAGACAGCCATGTCAAAAGTTCGCACAAATTGTGTGTCTGAAGGGGAGTTTTCAGAACGACCTCGGTCTGTGAGGAATAAGATACTCATTCAGTCTGAATGCGGATTCCGTCCTCTTCAATGGGTAGGTTGTGTTTCTCGCTAAGTCCTTGTAGTGTTCCTAGCCTGCGAGGTGACGCATACCATGGAGCGATAAGTTACAATTTTCGGATAACTGTGATCAATCAGGCTTTATGGGTGACGTCAGAAAAGCGCGTACGTACCAGAGCGTCTTGACTACATACCATAGGTCGATCGTACCAACCAATCAGAAACCATGTGGCCCAGGCCGAAGCTGCACAAAGCCAGAAATGCTAGCACGCGATGGACAGAGGCCTTGATGACCAATTATTTAATCCCGTTATTTCTTTCAATAAACGAACTGCTTTTTGTGTGGCTTTTTCCCCGTGTATTGGTTACGTGGGATATTGCATACAAGTACCAGTGTGATCTAGTGATTACGTCTCGTCCGTGATTGCTAATCCGTGATTTGTACTTCATGTTTCTTTTTCCGTGATCATTGCGTACTACTAATACTACTAGCACATCAATTTACCTGTTCCTGTAGAGTAAGTCATGTGGGTGGAACGGTGAGAGGACTATCTGACTGCATTAAGGAGCATCATCCCGTTTGGTTAAACCAAGGATTGACAAGGACCAGGATGACGGCAATTACAAACTATTCGAGTGAGTCTAAGCACGTATTCAATGTGCTTGGGGCTTTTTGTACTCTCTGTACTATCAAGGATAGTTTATCCAAACAGGCCAAGTTCCTAATTTTGTCAACAGCCGAGGCGATTGCCGTCCGTCTCCACCATCATCCCGCTTGTGTGCCCAGAAACAGTTTGTAAGATCATTGGTCTTACTATGACCATCGACTAACAATCCGGTGACATAACCTCTGTTCATAAACTCTCACTCATTCACCTGCTCACTCCTCCACAACCACCCTCTGTCTTCCACTTTCCGCGCATACACCCACAGACATACAACCTCACGAACGTTAATTATCACAAGCCCATCATCTTTTTATACACTTTGATTTCCTTCGCAGACATGTCTGCTCTCAGCACCTGTTTGATCTATATTAAATTGTGTTGTATTAAGCCAGCCGATGTAGCACCAAAAACGAGCTTGTTTGTTATTTTGTGTTCTCATGTTACAAAATCATATATGTTAGGATATTATCATCATTTAGATGTTTAGTGTATGTGTGCATTGTTAACACAGAAGGCCGATGTAAACGCTTTTCTGAAAGTATACAAATTCTCGAAAGTTCTATGACCAATACAGACTATGGAAGAGGTGAAATATTTCAAACGCGATGGAAATGTTTGTGATAAACGACATCAAGCACTGGGCAGCTGTTTCGTCTTGTTTCAGACTCGTCAGCAGTGCGTAGTTTCTGTGTCCCGCAAACATTCGGATGGGGACTTCACACCCTTACCCCTGAACTATTGCGTCGATTACTATCACCTTATGAGAATGGCTCAACTAATTCCCACTCGAGTCCTTACAGGGAAACAAAATGTACGTACTGTTGACGAGTGCTAAACAGGACGAAATAGCTCTTTGTCGGTTATCACAAACATTTCCGTTGCATCTGAATGCATTACCTCTTGGGGAATTAACGACCTTCCAAGGAGTGAAACCCACACCATCAAGAGTGCCTGGTGCCTCTGAACAATCGAACGGGCTAATCCAAGCTTGATACTCTAAAATGATGAAATATCTCGTTCCTATGGCAATATATGACAATACATAAGTCATTACTTAAACCAAAGACAAGGTTTTCCCTCGAGAGAATCGACCAGAGGGATATTAGAGGTAAAGCCCGTCTTGAGATGGTTCCAGTCGATCACATAGTGGGTTCATGATAAAATTAGTCTTGGATAGAGATCACAAAACATGCAAGAACCCTTAAGGCTGGGGTAGCAGTAAGCGACTGTTTTCACCAAGCGTGGCACTATCAGCAACTTGACCCGAACAATCCAATCTGAATCGACCCTCACGCGTACGCCGAGCACAACTGCTGAACTATGATCGGGTTTAGAGCATGGAAGGTGTCAGACAAAAGGAGAATTCTCCAACCCCATGATTACTTGTATTCAAATTGTGAGATCCCCAGTTCGATCCTCAGCATGGTCGATTAATTTGCGCTTATGTTGAGACCTACCATACAGTGCTTCCAACCTTTTAAGTTTAAGTTTCGGTTGCTTTGTAAACCCCTTAATTATCTCTCCCCTCACCCAATTTTTGGTTCTAACTAAGCTGTTTGTATTCCGATCCGGTTTTTGAGGTAAATCAGGAATGAGCAAGTAGCGTTAATCCCAAGCAAAGATCCACCATGATAACTGACCATAAGCTTGATACAACGGGTGCAAGGTACCGGTCACATTCACAACGGGCCTGATTACGAGATGGTTTGAAACCACCACAATGTTTAGTCACAATATTACCCGTACTCACTCCGTGCCAAAAAACTTGTTAGCAACAGGCGCATTCTGAACATCATATAAATTATACCCATTTCGATGATTCTTTTCGTTTCATTTCCAGAATNTTCCAGAATTGTATCCAGTACCCACCAACCTTCAGTGAACCTTCTTTGACGGATAAACCTACACTCGACCCAACAGGAAACGGTGCAACCAACTGATTACAGAAATACCGTAGATGTGAGAAAAAGTCAAATTGATTATTCTCAAACCAGGTATTGCTGAATAAATATACTGAAGAGTGAAAAAACGAATAGCCAAAATCAAAGCGGTATTTTGGTAAAGGGGCACGTTCGGAAGAAGAAAATCGGCAGTGGACGGAAAATGACGGCTGCAAATTGTCGCAAGATGATATGGGAGAAAGAATGGAAGAAAACCAACCTCGTCCAACAGCGCACGCAACACAACCAGTCCCGTCAAGATGGAGTCAGCAAAGAGAACAGGCAACAAACAGGCAAACAGGCAACGAACAAATGAGTTCAAAATAATTGGCGCAAAACATAGACACAAAACAGTGTCCGTAAGCCCACAGTTCTGGAGCGACCCTGAAAAGTATGAGAAGACAGCAACAGTACATGTTATGAATGAGTGGGAACAGGTGGTCTGCCAGTGGAATCTTGTTTATTCCATTGAATGCCATCTGACAACACTTGCCTTTTAAAATTGTGCAAAGTGATATCCCATTATATTGTCTGACATCACACTAATGATTTTTATTCCCCTCATTTGACGAAGAAAAAATTAAACCTGTGTATCTTTCGCCGCATTTGCGTGTATCACAGAGTAGTGGATATATGAGAAAACGAACATGCGAAAGTAATGAGCGTTTAACGTGCATAGTATTTACAAGTCCATCGCCGAAACTATATGTAGGTAGGTGGTGGATAGGAAACCGGAGTCATATTCCACCAAGTTCTGACTTGTTTCCCGTAACCAGAGAGGCTTCCCCTCACATGAGTGCTGTTCAATAGACCAACTGCGTATGGTGTAATTCACAATGTTGCGGGATTTTTCAAATAGAAAAATGTTAACAAAAAAGCGAAAGTTTCAGACGTGAAGCGATTATGATTAAAGTCACTAAATAAAGTAAAACATGACGAAGAGCATTTATGTATCCAATATTCGAATCGCTGATTCCGTCACACAGGCCGTCACAATTGCAATCACATTCATTAAGACCAAGTAAACTTAGCGTTCCTCAAAACGGAGGGCAAATACCGGCTAATGCAATCGAGTTGCGGACGATTTATACCATATTGCAATAAATGCAGTAGATGTATATGGTTGACTATAAATAATGACACTGTAACCTCCGAGAGCATTTTCGAGCATGAGTGTATTACAGACTACAAGTAGCTTAGCAGACGTTTGTCTCACACCCAATTTTCGGGCATTGATTTGATGTAGAAAAACTATGAAGCATAGAGAAGACCTTAATTTCATTTCTTAGTTTACTTCAAACCTAAGGAATCCAGATGTATCTCATGAACTATTCGCACATCACTCAACAGGTTTGCTACCGCAGATGATATCTTTACCGGCGAGCTCTGTGCTTCCTACTTGTATTTATACAAATATTGACGGAACTCATGCAACATGACTCCCAACTTGGAAATACATTTCAGTTTCCAGAACAGTACCTGTACATGGATGACCATCAACAACGAGTATTAATTCAGAAATTAATTTACCGCTGCACCGTTCATAGTTCTTGTGTATCACCATTTGTATTTGCTGGAACTTGAGTGCCGAAAGTTACAGCTCATAACTACAAAACATTTTGTGCAACTCAGCATGGAAGTTCATTCTTTCGAGCTAATGATTGGTGCTTCATCAAGGTTTTTATTCTAGTCGACACACATTCCAAATAGCTTACCTTTTATCATTCAGTGCAAAGTAAATAAGTCTATTAAGGAAAATTTTCTAGCCCAAATAATTGATAACTTATGCTAGCTGCAGACTACTTACGTAACATCCCCCAGCTTAATAGAGCTAAAAAGATATTCAAAAAACAAAAGTTGACCTTGGAGTTTGCTGATTTTTGAATAAGCGTTTTGTATGATTACCACGGCCAAACCGGATAAAGCATCCGAGAGGTTTAGGCATGCAATTGAAGCCAAGAACCAAAATATTCGAGAGTCGCATAAATCCAACGATGGTTCAGTTCGAACTAAAGCTGAGGTCATCTGATACAAAGAAGTTTTTGAATGCATTGTTCTGATCGCCGTCGTATGGAACTAGGATTTATCTTACCGATGAATATCGAGCATTATAAT